ATCGGATAATTTTTGTGATTTTTTCCCCAGTTCTTTCAACATCCATCAATTTTGCATTGCATACTGCACTTCCTTGCCAACTTTCTTCAAGAATTTCTTTGATTCCGAATAAAAAACAGTTTTGCATGTAGTTGTTAATTCTGGAATTCTTTCATCTTTCCCCTTTGGAAGTTTTGGAATAGGGTAAAGTTTGAAGCAGTCGGTGCAGCAGATCTCTTCAGAAAAATTGTTTTCAAATCCGAGCTTTTGGAATACCATAGGTTTTGAGAGAGGTATGTTACTGATTATTCTTGATCCATCAAATGAAAATTCTTCAGAGAGTTGTTTCACTTTTTGGTGTTCAGTCTTCAAAAAATCAGATATCTTCTTGTCGCTGACCCTTGTTACCAGAGAGAGTTTAGCCGCTTGTAGCATTGTTGTAAGACTGTGCTGAGGAATTAGCTGAAATGTTCTTGCTTTTGATGACTCAGTATCAACAACAAGATAACCATTTGCAACAGCGTTCTCCCTTTCGACGGATCCATCTTGCATTGGATTAACAACAGTTGTTTCGCCTGGGGTCTTTTTGGTTTGTTTGGAGTGAGGTAAGCCACAATTATTAGATGGAGAGTGGTTAAAATTAAGATAAGAATATACCTGATCAACTATAGTATTTTGAGGAGCCTCCTCAATTGCCCTTCCTTTCTCATCCTTCTCTTTCTTCTTCAAAATAGACCTGGAATGACTTTTAAATGAGGTAGCTGACCATGCCTTTCCTTTCTTCTCTTCCTTTGTTTCCATGTCTTGAAAAGTTTCTTGATCGCATCCAAACTCGGTACATTGGCATATTTTCCACCGAGTGCTCATTTTGTGAGGAACAATAATTGTAAGTCTGATAAAGATCGTTTAAGTTTTTGATATCCACCCCTGTTTATCTGGAGGGCCAAACCACATCTATAAATATTGATTTGCATGGCAAAACCTTCGACCAACCGCATGACACTGCAGTGACCTTGCATTGCAGCTCCTCTTTTCTCTTGAATTATTTGTACTGCTAAGCACGCCGTGCTTAGCATAACACCGATGCCATGACACAGACATGTCAGATGGTTATCTTTGATCACTAAGCTCGGCGTGCTTAAATCCACAGAATAGGACATATTGCTTACTAAACCTTGCATACTCAAAATAAGCTTACATATCTAATACCCGGGCACTTTAGCAATACATTGCCTTGCGCGCATGACTCTCATTGTACCAGGAATACAAATATGTGATTATTCAAGCTAATGGGTTAAATAAGAGAGACTGAACAGAGGAAATATACCGATTCCTCTGCTAATTTTCTGTGAAAACTCATCTGTTATTTTCCCTTTACTCAAGAATGAACACTAACTTGAACTTTTTGATCTTGGAAAATCAGAAAAATTCACCTTTTTACAAATTCTGCATACCCCTCACTCACCCCTCTCAGTATGGTGAAAACCTTGAAGAATGGAAAAGCTCCCTCCAATGTACAAATACTAAATAAGACTCTCTCCAGTATCATACCCCCATCCACCTCTCATTTTTCCAGATGCCTTGCTTCCTTCTGCCGTCTTGTGTTACATATTGAGAAGCTAGAGGAACAAAACTGGCAAACTTCACCTTCAGAAGAACAAATTCAACTCGCCAAAAACCTCCCACTCACAATTACAAGTCATCCTATTCAATCCAGAATCAAGCTGTCCCCAGCCAAACCTCATGTTTTACATGGTATCTCACTCGACTGTCAGGATTTGTTTCTTGCAGATTTAAAAGCATCGAACTTTCCTAAACCGACTTTTGCGTGGAATCAACCTTGGGAATCCCACTGGAATCAAATTTTCTCCAACTTTGTCCTCAAGCACTGGAATCATTGCTACAAATACGGTGCCTTTTCAAACTTCCCAATGAATTCATCCCACAAAACGTCTAGGAATGCTACTGCTGTCCTGAAAAGGTGGTTTGAAGGTAAAAGAAATGACATTCGACAAAACAAATACTCCGTAGATTCGGTAAAGAAGAAAGCTATGCAGGTGAAAAAGTCAAAATGGCGGAAGCAGGTCAGTTGGACAGTTATTTTGTGACTCTTCACATGTTTTTGGAACTGAATCATCAGAAATTCATCCAGCTGAATCACAACCGCACCGAAGTCCTCACTTTATTGGGCCTTCCAGACGAACAGAGGGACCTCTTCAGTGAACCATCATGGGGCTCAGACACAGAGCAAACTCCCGATGCAAACTTCCATAGAGTGCAGTGCCCTTGGCGATCAACTTTATTCACCGAGCTAGGTTATCAAATTGACAAGTTCTCCGAGAAAAATAAGGCCAAACAACTGGGTAAAAAATACTACACCCATAGTACCTCTATCTGGTCACTCCGCGAAAGAAGTGATTTTCAAGAAAAAATTGTCAATGTGCCCTCGGAACTCCCTCGAAACTGCTACCATCCAACCTTCCTTGCTTCTCTCAATGAAACAGACATCAATGCTCTAAGAATGAAGGAGGAAATTGATATTGAGGCTATAATCAAACAGGTTTCCACAGAATAATGTAAGTTTTCCAAAACCCGTCTACTTAATTACCAAGGCGGTCATCCCGAAGTAACTTCTTCACCATCTCAAATTCCAGGTTTCCACTCAATGGGACACTCAAACTAATAGGATTTGAAAAGTTAGTCTTTACATTAACATTGGTCTTGTGATGTGAATAAAGATAAGAGAGGTGATCACTCACATGGCAAGCTCTGCTTTCCTGCGTTTAATCTGAAAAATATGTCCTTCAATACTGTTTGTCACACAGTACCTCACCACGTGAACCTTCTCCTGTTGGCCAATTCTGTACAATCTATCAATCGCCTGTTCCTCCACTGCTGGATTCCAAGTTGGCTCCTAAGAATCCATAGGTTTCATTCTTCAGCCTTTGGGAAATTGTATTACCAAATTTTGCATTGGACTCACCATGATGTATACCTTTTGAGCACACCTCAGATCTATCCCAACTCCAGCTGTCTTTATTGTTGCCAAGAGTATTCTACACCGTCGATCCCCCCTGAAGCGTTCCAAATTCTTTCTTCGAGTCTCATTTTCCGTCTTTCCATAATGTGTTGTAAAACTAATACCCACCTCATTCAGAGCAACTTCAATTCTGAGACAACATTAATGCTTCTGTTAGTCAATTATATGAACCCCAGGCATATTCAGTTTACAGACTCACATTTCCAGAAACCTTTTGAACTCCGAAAAAATAACCGCACGGAATTGAGCACCGCTTGCCAGGAACAACTTCAGATCTTGCACCAAATGGACAATTTTTGAGCTTTCATTCCAGGAGTATTTTTTCGTGCCAATTCCTTTTTCAGTCAATGCTGGATGATTACACAGCTGTCTTAAATCCACAAGATCGGCAAAGAAACTGCTTGAGTTCCAACCTTGTCCTCCTGTCCGATTCTTCCCAAATTGATCTGAAAATGCTTTGTGGTTTCTTTCGTATGTTTCATTCCACGGAGTTTTGAGCGCAAGGTTGATAATGGTTTCAATTTTCTCAGGGAGAGATAAGATAGTGGTTTTCAATCGCCTCATACTAATTCTGTTCATAATTGTTTGTAATGTTGAAATTCCACGGGGATCACACATCTCGACGGGGGATTCAATACAATTCTTCCAGATTGAATTTTCTGTCCATGGTTCAATTCTGATAAACTTTATTAAGCTGTGGAGATCTCCCAGTTGATTTTGCAAAGGAGTCCCAGTAAGGCATAATCGTCGTTCTGCTTCCAATCCAAGAATTACGCTGCTCCTATTTGTCCTTGGATCCTTCAGGTAACTGTACATACACTAATTTCAGTATTACAATTTTGATTATGGTTTAGGATTTTGGTTTACTTACTGTGCTTCATCAAGAACAATTCTAAACCATTTGATACTTGAAAAATCTAAACCCATTGTTCTGCCTTCAGTAGCGTTTCGACTTCCTTCCTGTTGACTACTTTTGATTTGTGTCACTACTGACTCGTATGTTGCCAGCACAACTGCAACTTGGGCAATATCTTTGAATTCGATCGTACATTTATCTCTACCGTAAAATGTTTTGAAAGGAAGGCTATCTCTTATGAAATGTATATTAATTTCGTTCTTCCAGTTCTCCAGGGTTGAAAGTGGGCAGATTATCAATGTGGCTGAGGTGGGATTCAAATATGGTACATTTGGTTCTTGACGGGAGAATTGTAAGGCTTCTTCACTTGATAGTTGGATGGCTGATAAAGTCGTCAAGGTCTTTCCTAGACCCATATCGTCCGCAAGAATACATCCTTTCGCATCAAATTTGACATCTCTTTTGAGATACCCTTTCTGAACAGCATCTTCAAAGACTATATGGACCCATCGATTATCTGGATCATTCCAGATCTCTAGTGGTGTTGAGATGAGAGTGGATTCGCTTCGTTGGATAAATTTGATTGCTTTCATTTGATGATCCATTAGCTTTGTTTTGCAGCCTTGGATGGTGTGCCGATTGTCTTCTTCAATAGCCGTTGGTTGTACCATGTCTTCACTCTGTTGTACACCCAGAAAATGACCGGGATCATAGCTTGGTATTTGCTTGAGAGAAATATTTGCGAGGCGGAAAGAGTTCCTCACTTCCGAAATCAAATTTTGTCAAGCAAATACAAATCCATGTACAAACGATCCTGTCCGCATTGAGGGATGTACATAAAAAATTCGGAGATATATTTTATTTTCCTTTTTTTGGAGTGCCTTCAGAGTAATTGGTTCGGAAACACTCCCAATACCACCAATCAAGGGGCCAAGATGTTTGCTTTGGTTTTCAGCCAAGTCACCAACCTTTTCGTAATTGGAACAAACTACATGTATATTATACCTTCCTCGATGAAACACCGCGTCTTGAAGTCCAATTTGAGATGAGTTGAAGGAGGGAGTGACGATGACAGGCGTGATAAAAAAACCTAAGCAGGATATTGAAGACATTCCTGAATGATTGATCAGGTATTTGCTGGGGTTGATGTTAACAGAATTGGTACTAGATTACTAAATGATACTAGTTGAGGTATGGTTATTGGGTGAGTTTTAGAAGACGGAGGAATGAGATTGTCAATATAAGATCCAAAACGACTAATCCACATGTGTGACGTAGACCATGCCCTGTCAGATATTAGGTGCTTGGAAGTTGCTTGTCCCATTATTTTCCAAACTTTGGGCCTTTTTGTTTGGTGATATCAACTCCTTGCACTGTTAATACTAAACTGATCCAAATCAAACATGTCCATATCCCCGCATCACAGGTTTCTCAGAAGTGTCCAAACTTTGTTTGAGCATACCTCACTTGATATCATTAACTGAGGTGAACTAGATTCATGTAAATATTTGCAATTATGTATGTATGCCTGTTTTGTTATATGGAATCGTTTTTTTTTCAAATTCTTGGGCATTTGGATGTGTGATGGATAGATAGCTATTCCTCACGAATTCATTTATAACAAACAAGGATTTCATGACAGGCAGCCATACAAAATTTTAAATAATACTCAAGATATTTGTAGGATATGTTAATTGAATCATCCAAGTCATTTTCAAAATTGAAAAAAATTAAACTTGGAGCTAAAATCATGTGAGGTTGTTGGTATATGTCAAAATTTCCAACCTAATAATTGAAATTCTGGGAGAGTACCAATTGAAAACAAAAAATTTACCTCACCAACTTTCCTTCAAGCATACTATTTTTTATTGGAAAAAAGAAATAATGAATGGTGCTTTCCTTGTGGGCTTGTAGCAATGAAATTGTACACCATGTCCAATAAGATATTGTGTGATATGGACAGTCAGTAAAATCTAAAAGTTGATTTCTCAATAGGCTTTTCAGTTTGGATTTAAAAGTTCTGAGATTGTTTTCAACTGAGGGATTTGGAATACTTTTCTTTTTTAGTCTTGATTAAGCTTTTCCAATTCCAACTTTGCATACCAGTCATTGAATCCAAATGGATATTTCCCCACTTTTTCTCTTTTATCAATTGGTTTCAATATTGAAAAAAAAAAAACAGGATATTATGTGAAAGTATATTCAGAGATTTAACTCAGTGGTGTTGATGTTTAATCTTCTGAATTCCAATGAATGATGAAAATCTGTAGCAACATATCTACACAGGTTTAAGATGTGAGAAGAATCCCATTGGACTCTCACACAAATACATGAAATCATTTATCTAATTAAAGTATTCATCAAATCTTGGGGCTCAAGCTGCTAACTTCTTGAAATCTGTGCGCCTGAATATTTCCATTTTTACAGGGATTAGCAATAGTCTAACTATCCATCAGAAATTCCTTGGAAAAATCTTCCAAACATGAGGTTATCTTTGAGGAGTTTGAAGATCCTTCACTCTTGGGAGGCTTATTGTGTGTTTTATTGTGCTTCTTGTGAAGTTTTAAATTTAGTCCATTTTATGGTGAGTTGGTAGGAGGAAAGATACTCACATGAATCCCTGATTCCCTTTCCATGATGTACTGACTTATACTCATATTTCCTGATACTAGGAATCATTAAAATGAACTGAAAAACAGAAAGGTGCTTCTGGCTTTTTATGATAATCATTCCAGCCACCTCATTGCTTCTCCTCATGTACTCTTTTTTTTTTCTGAATCCTTGGGGAGTGTGGAAGAAAATCAAATGTGCAGTTTTATAAGTTTTAACTTTTATGAGTTAGTTTAAGTTTATTGAATGTTCCTTCCATGAAGTGTTTTAATATCCCAGTTGAATCCAAAACACGATTTAAATCATAATTTTTTCATTTTTTTATCTTCACAGGAGCTGGAGAGTTGATATACAAATCACAGCCAGATGGGATCTTATAATTTTTGGATACTGAAAATTTTCACCAAAAACATACTTTAAATTTCAAGGAGTCAAATATTATGATTTTTTATCCTGAGAAAAATGGATTTGTCTTGTGGAATATGAATTATCCTCATAGAACTGATTTGTTGAAGTGGGCACTGATTGTATGGGAAACACAATGCCAATTGAATATAACATTGGAAGTGGTAAATTTTAAACTAGAGATCAGCCTAGTTGGAGTTAAAAATCTTCCACAAACTAGTCAGAATTTCATCAAAAAAACTCCCAATTTATAAATTGTTTTTATCTTCAATCATAAATTGTTGGGGGAGAGATGAAAGATAAAATTTGAGGATGATTGTGTTCCCAACATGAAATTTTCTCAATTAGGTTAATCATTTTTATTCATTCAACCCTGATGTATGAGCTGCATAGATGATCCTTCTGAAATGCATTGTAATTCAATTGGGGTTACTAGGTAGATAACGACACAGATCAAGTCAGAAATATGACAGATATAGGGAATATATACAGTCATTGATAAACCAAATGATGGGGCTGGGATAAGCAAAGGCACCCACTATTGGGTGCCACATCTTTTTTCCTGGTGAAGGCCTATGGATTCTCCAGCAGTTAGGCCGAGAGCGTCGGGATTGTCAACCGCGCTGATCCCTCCACCCCGTTTGGTCGCGCTAGCCGTTGGCCCCGAGCACTAGGATCATTCGTGTTTCAGCTCACACTGCTGATCGGCCTCTCCGGGAGGTCTGATCGCTCAACATATTCTGGTAAACGGTATGGGTCGTAACAGTACTCCGGGACCTCCTCGTCTTCCTCCTGCATCCCTCTTAATAGATCTTGAGGATTGCTTGTCAGCTTAGTCGAGGATTTCATGTATTTGATTGAAGGTACAATATGCTTACCCGAATCCAATAGGAAAATCTAAAGACAAACAAGAGAACAAAAGGAAGACGAGGAAGGTGGCGTAGAAGAGCTGGAGTTTAGAGCGCCGAGCGATCGATTTGAGCAGGTCGATGAACGTCGGCCGAGTTGCTCATGACCATGGAGTCCATTCATTGTAAATGATTAGCTTCCGAAGAAAAGGAAGACGAGGAAGGTGGCGTAGAAGAGCGGGAGTTTAGAGCGCCGAGCGATCGATTTGAGCAGGTCGATGAACGTCGGCCTGCTCGCTCATGACAATGGAGTCCATTGTAAATGATTAAGAGCTGGAGTTTAGAGCGCCGAGCGATCGATTTGAGCAGGTTGATGAACGTTGGCCGAGTCGCTCATGACAATGGAGTCCATTGTAAATGATTAGCTTCCTTCATATAAGAAAAAAAAACGTTGCAAGATTTTTTTTTGATGTGATATATCCGTATTCCGGGGAGAAGATGATTCTGTCTCTGTTTTTGATTCTGATGATGATCTCCTTGGTCGATGTGATATATGCAAGCTTTGGAGTGAATTATTCGATTTTTGGACGATATCCGATTGTATTAACATCTAAGTAACAAGAACGTCGATGATGAGCTTATCGATCTAGAGCAAAACCGGAACCTGATATGTAGAGAGAGAAAGCAGTGGACCTTTGTAGTATTTAGCAGCCGAAAGACTTTCGCCGAGCTGGCCGTTGAGATTATACCGCTTATAGAACTCGTCCAAGATGACGCCCTGACCATTGCGACTGACCTGGATGAGTTCCTCGAGCTCGGCTCCTTCGACGGCCTGGCCGGTGGGGGTCCTGAGGTTGGAGGAAAAGAGGGCCGAGAGGCCCATCTGGTTGATGTTTGCCTTCAGCTTGTCGATGTGCAGCTTGTAGTTGTCCAATCACAAAAAGAAATGCAACACAAGATCAGCCTCTTATCAACCCCTCAAAAAAAAGAACACACATCTTAAAGAAAGAAGTCGGAAAAACCCACTTATCATGATCCGAGAGAAAGAGAAAACAACATCCCCACAATGAATCATCAAAAAAAAAGACCTAAGATGTGAGTTTCTTGCTGTGCATTTCTCTCTCCCCCCCTGGACTGGAGACAAAGAGAGGAAGAGATTGGGTCCACCAAACACACGTACACAGCACCGGAAAGGGAAAGCTAGAAGACCTTGTCCGAAATTAGGCCAAGTGTGGTCGTCGTAGGAGAAGCCATTAGCCATTGCGCGATCCATGACAAAGATGACGCCAGTGGAGCCGGGGGGGCTGATACCAGGGAGCATATTGTCTTGGTCGGGTTTGGAGGGGGTGGGCGAGGTGACAGCAGACCAGACGCTCTTCTTGCTCGCAGCTGCTTACAAGGCCGATCAATTCCAGGAGAAAGTCGATCTTGGCGTGGGAGCTTACCGGGTCGACTGTGGCAAGCGATGGGTCCTACCAGTAGTCAAGACGGTCAGTATGTATTACTAATTAAACTCAAGACCTGGTCGACTGCCTGTATGTACTACATACTTTGCTAACCCTCTTCAATACTGCATTGCCACTTCTTTGCTGATCCAGAATAGAGATGTCGCTTGATACCCGGGTACCTGTAGCGGGTGCGGGTACCTGCCTCAAAAATCCAATATTTTTGACACCCGCACCTGCACCCGCACCTGCTAGGGCCACCAGGGCGGGTACCTGCACCGGGTACCTCTGGGTACCTGGCACATCTTTGCAGGCAAATATACCCAGAAATCTCACCCTTAAATTTTTGCATGACTTGGTAAATATAAGATTGATATTCACTAGATATATGAGTAAGAATGAAGAAAAACAAATTATTCTATCACCAATTTGAATTTTATCTTCTCTCTGATCTATCTTTAGCTTTACCCTTTTGCTTGGCCTCATTTGCCTTATTCCATGTCCATTGATGAAGACTGTACACCGTCTTTATGACTGGAGGAATTCCTCCAGTCATCAAGACTGTATACCATCTCAACGGCCAGAGGGAACCCTCCGGCCTCAACAAAGCAACCAGATTAGTTCAGCAACACATGTAAGACACCAGCTGGTTTCCTACATGGGTTGCTGACACCTTTGTGCAGCCCAACACACCCAAAAAAGGGAATTTTGGACCACCAATGATAAATTAAATTCTTCAGGGGAAGCATTCCCAGGGCGGGTGTAAGGCAGGTACCCGGGTACCTGCCTTTTTTTACCGCAAATGTTGACACCCGCACCCGCACCCGCACCTGTTTCCGGGTACCTGCTTTGGAAACCAGGTACCTGCAAACGGGTACCGGGTACCTGCAAACGGGTACCGGGTACCTGCAAACGGGTACGGGGTACCTGCAAACGGGTACCGGGTACCTGCAAACGGGTACCTGCTGACATCTCTAATCCAGAAGGAGTTCTCAGAAGACAAAATTCTCGACCGCGAGTACCAACCTATCACAGGCTGACCTTCCTTCACCTCGGCCACCTCGACCTTGATCTTGGGATCTAACAGTCCCGCTATATCTGGGACCGGTCAGTTGTTCTTATCCTCTTTCTGATTCCCGCTTTCACACACACACAAGAACAAATACTCACTCGATGATGCCAAAAAAAAACCGTGTGGCCAAAGCGCAGGCGATCTCAGGGACAGGCGCAAATCATTTAGGTGGTCTCTTCTTGGCATACCAAGGTTTCGCATCTGGTGACTTGGATAATGATTTCTGGGCAGTCCGCCACCTCGTGAATTTCAAGATTCCGCTATTGATCTGTCAATGTTTTGCGAAAAACGCTGGGCCCTATGGAGAGAGAATCGGCCGGTTGACTGTCGTCCCTAAAGATCAAGACGAGGCCAGTCGAATCGAGAGTCAGATCAGCGTATTACAACGCAGTGAGATCTCTAACCCTCCTGCTAATGGGGCTCGGGTTGTTGAGTCTCCTTTTTTGCACTTCTTTTACCTCGCTCTGAGTTGAACTCGGATATTGTCAGATTTTGTCTTTTTGGTATAACTGAATTTCTTCCTCACCTGCTTTTTCTAGGTCTCCGACATCACAAATGACATCCCCACTCATCACTTAAGGACACCCATCCTCAGATGAATCGAGCCTCAGACTAATCACCCCCCTCCTCCACAGGCCAGTATCCAGATTCACTTCCCTCTCTCTCTCCTTGTCTTCCTAACTCCATCGTTCGTGGATATCAAATCCTGTAAATACAAATCTACAGAACAGAAGTCTCTAATCGCAATAAATCTCTTAGTTCTAAATTCTTACACTCACGCCATCAGCTTGGCCAAATATGTTTTTAATACACACTGTTTGTGAGTGCTTGAAACGGCATTGCTTCACTCCAGTTGGGAAATCGGGTACGTTTTCCTTGCATGATCTGTCTTCTGTGATGATAAATTTGTAAACAACTTGATTGATTGATTGTTATACGCACTAATTTCTTTTGCTCTATGTTGAATAAACAGAAATATTTTATCAAAGTTATTCATGAACTATCTGGAAAGCCCCAGTCTCAATATCTGTAAGCCATTTGCGTCGAATGCTGGTGAGGATATGATCAGCTCCCATATCTAATTCTTGTTTGGTGAGGGTAGCATCTTCGGTCTGGACAACAGTCAGGTATGGA